TGTTCTGTCTTTTCATTCATAAATCTAGTAATATAATGTATACTTCCATCTATATCCAAGTTATTTCTAGCAAGTTTATGATTAAAAGGTGTCTTGGTTTTTGAATATGGTCGGTTTAATGGTGCCCAACCATGTAAAAGTAAAGTTGGAATCTGCACTCATATTGACTAGATCTAAGTTCTAACCTTTCGGGTATATAAGATTGATCAATCAAAAGTCCTTGGTCTCAAGGCATAAAAAAGAACTTTATGTGGACTTAACCTAACCACGACAATCCTTGATACAAGAAGTCCGAAGTTACTTGGGGCGCATGTAATCAGCTTATTTCGTGGTTTACTTCTGTTATATTATGATTGCCACAGAACGCTTGAGTATAAAATTAATTCTGATGGGAAACCTCAAGGCCTATACCTAAGGCCTTACAAAGGCACCTATCTGAGTTCGTTCTGCTCTTCGAGCTCGGGTGATAAAATATAACAGTTGTAATACTTCTGCAACAATAAAACAATCACTATATGTTCGAGTACTTGGTTAGTTTTGATTGCGAGCCTCAAGGTCTACACCTAAGGCCCTACAAAGACACATTTCATAGCTAACTTGGTCTCTCGGGCATAGACAATTAAACTAAACATCTGTTTTACATCTGTCATGCTAAAGATGGCAGTGGCACGCCTGAACACCTCAAGTTAATTTTGATTGTGAGCCTCAAGGCCTACACATAAGGCCCCACAAAGGCACATTTCAGAATTAATTTTGTCCTTCTCTTACAGCCCGCCAAAAGCAGAAGCCCGACAGACAATATCAACCGGCGCCAACCTCTTGGGGAGCTGTGTGCTAGTTGGCCAGGAAACGTCCCCATCGAAAATTCCTCTAGACGAACATATGTTATATTATGTAAATCCATCATTGCATGTAGGGGTGGAATTTTTTCCCGAAAATCCCGAACCCGTCCCGAAATTAGCCCGAAAAATTTCCGAACCAAATTTCCCGAAACATTCGGTACCCGAAACCGATCCCGACCCGAAAGTTTCGGTTTGGGATTCGGCCACAGCTTTGAAAGCTTTCGGGAATCCCGAACCGAACCGAATATTATATATATATATATATATATTTATTTATTTATTTATTTTTAATTTTTAATTAGAAATTACTTGAACCGTTGGATTTGTTAAAATCTAATCCAACCGTCCATAGTTAGGTCATTTGTTTGTTAGGTTATCAGACTCTCTCAGTCGCTCTCGCTCTCTCACCTCACTGGCTGGCTCACTCACACACACTCTCACAGTCCCCCCGCTCCACTCCTCTGTCGAATCCACGCCGCTCCTCATCGTCCATCACTCCATTGACTCACGCCGCTTCTCCTAATATCCCAATTTGTATCAAATACGCCTGCTTAGTTTGACCAATGTTCTGTGTATGCATTCCAGGCACTTCCAACCATTAAAAAGGAAATTATTGAAGTATTGGATATACTGCTAAGGTGGTTTGTTTTACAATTTTGTAAATCGAACACAACATGCCTGTTAAAGGTATGGTCTATTTATTTTCGTTCAGTCTTCCTTCCTTGCTTTTTAAGTGCTACGGTTTTCTAGGTGTGTTATCCTAACCACATATGTTCTGATTTACAGGTGTTGGAATTTCTTCCAGAACTTTTTGATACATTTAGGGATGAGGCATACATGTTGAGTGAATCAGAAGCAGCCATATTTTTTCCATGCTTGATAGAGAAGGTTTCTATTTTAATTGCCAGACTTTGGCAGCAAATATTTTTCTCTTGTAATGTGTTTACTTTACCTATGTGCAGGCCGGTTGCTGTAAGCCATCAGATGATTGTGGATTTACTTACGAAAGCCCCATCTCCTGGACCAGCAACGTTACTACCGTTTCCTCCAACCCTGACTGCAGTGCGTGGCAGAATGATGAGAAGGTTCTGTGCTTCAACTGTCAGTCGTGCAAGGCTGGACTGCTGGACAACATAAAAAGTAATTGGAAGAAGACGGCGATTGTCAACATTGTCTTCCTCATCTTCCTGATTGTGGTGTATTCAGTTGGATGCTGCGCGTTTAGGAACAGCAGGAGGGACAATGAATATTGGAAATAGTAAGCGACGCTGGGGTTCCATCTGATATTGACATGTATGTAGAGAGTAGTTTGGCACTAGCTCTTATTACTTGAACATACGTCGGTCTTATTGCCTAGTCTTATTGCCTAGTTATTAATATTAATCTCGTATATAGTCTTTGATCACATTTGGTTTAAGGGTACAACGTTGTTCAGCTGCTACTTTTATGAAAAAAGGGTGGGCTTACCCTTTAAAGGGTGGGCTTACTCTTTAAAAGCCCAACATTTTGGGCTTCAAATTGTAAAAAGCTTAAAATTGTAAAAAGTTATAAAAGCCCAACATTTTGGGCTTCAAGGCCCAATCCCGAAGTTTCCCGAAAATCCCGAAACACTTTCGGGAATCCCGAATTTCGGGATCCCAATAGTTTTGGTTCGGTTTCGGGATATAAAATCCCATCCCGAAATATTTTGGTTTGGGAATCGGGTTCGGGGTTTCGGTTTGGGATCCCGACCCGAACCAGCCCTAATTGCATGTACATGTGCCTGACTAACGCTATAAAACATTTGTCGATTAATACAATAACAACCGGTGTCAACCTCTTGGGAAGCTGTGTGCTAGTTGGCCAGGAAACGTCCCCATCGAAAATTCCTCTAGACGAACATATGTTATATTATGTAAATCCATCATTGCATGCACATGTGCCTGACTAACGCTATAAAACATTTGTCGATTAATACTGTAATGATAAGAATCATGTGCTACCATTGCTTCACACTGCATTTTATTGCACGTGGTTAAGGTGGTGGCGTGCGACAGATATCGAACAAGAAAGTAATAAACTAATTGGACGGCCATAGTAGATCCCAATTCCATCTTTTCCTACAGTACTCTGAAGTTGGCAGGCAATTATCCTTGATGTATTTTAATTAATTTTCTGAGAGGGGACTGTCATTATCCAGGAATTAAAAAGTAGCTGTGTTATTTGACTAATTGAGACTCATAGTCAAACTAGCTAAGTAGTTCAGTCTATTTATTATAGTGGGATGAAATATAAAACTCAATTGAAAGAACTGAAAATTAAGATATTACATATAATTACAAACTATAAGAGAATGAAAATATAATTAATTAGTATTTGAGTGTCGAAATATGAATATATTAAAGGAAATTTTAACTTCTGGTACCGTTCACTTTAAAGAAAAATTATATTTTTACACTAAAAAGTCAATCGTGGTATTATTCACTTTACCTTTTATTTTTATTCTTATCATTAAAACTTAAGATTTTCAAATATTTTTAATTAGTTTTCCATATATTTTAAATACATGTAAACAATTGTAGGAAAATTTCTTTTTTATATTGAAATGTAAATTGCTCTTTCCTTGTCAATGACATGAGCAAGTCATATTAGTTAGTACTAGCCTTCATGCATGCGCGTGAGGGCGTGCATAAGACATTTTTGAATCACGGCGTGCTACGTGCAACTTACACGTTTTAAATTTATTTATATGCATAAATTGACAAAATAAAAGTCAAATATTTGAAGTAAATGAATAATTTTATATTATGCTAGAAGAAACCCCTTATAAATCAATTAAAGAACCGGAATTCACATAATAAAATCGGTTTCTATATAATTTACATTAAGAATAGAGAAAATAATATTTAATAAACAATTGATTGAATCACATTATTGCTAACTCATTATGAGGCTAAGCCTACCTCCTCCCCTTAGTGTGATAATACCGTTTGCTTAAAAAAAACAATAATTTGACAATTAATTTAATAACATTATTATTCGTGTACGAAAGACCTTATTTATAAAGAAAATAATATTTAATAAATAACTTATTGAATCACATTATTGCTAGCCTATTGTAAAGTACTAATTTAAAAAAAAAAAAAACTTTACTAATTTATCACCGGCACTACGCGCCTCTTAAGATGTTTTGACCACAATATTCATGATTTTCCTTATTTTTTATTATATTTTTCTTTTCCCCCTTCACGTGGGCACCATCAACTTTCACTTATCCTTCCATTTTTTTATTCTTTTCTCTCTTCTCACTTATATTTATATTATATTTTATGATACCAAATTACCCCTGCATTATTTGATATATTATATTGGGTTGCTTTTGGATTTTTTTGGTTGAGGGGCATTTTCGTCCTTTTATTTTTTTGTAGAAGCCTTGACACCAAAAGAGCCTTCTGGCTTTATATATAGATAAATGCTTGTGTGAAAATACTTTTAGATGAACGTTTTAATGAAAATAATTTCAAAACCAATCTTTTTCACTTCAAGTGCTTATGTATAATCATGTAGTTTCCAATGAGCTCGGATGAGTGTTAATCTATCTATTGCTTTTCGATTGTAATACTTAGATCTATTTTACAAGAACCCTTTTGAGACAGAGTTCTTCCTAATAGGTACTTGTAATGTCATTTTATCAATGAATGAAATATCGTAATCTTCTTTAAAAGAAAAAACAACTTCCAGGTATTTTAAGAAAATGATAAAAACACATTTATTTTTAACTTCTCACACACCTTTGTTAAATCTTGTCAATTGATTGTTTGATTTGTCCAATCCGATGGCCAAATATTAAGAGGTGTGTGAAAAACTAAACAGAGTGTGTTAAAATCACCTCCCTTTATTTCGAAAGCCCTTTCAAACGAACTTAAAATGTGTTTACTCTTTCTTTTTGCACCCGAGTCTGATTTTTTTTTTTAGCCTAACAAACCAGGTTCCACAATTTGGACTTGGAGGTTTTAGGCAAACAAACTGGAAAGGATAAAGACACAACCCATTGGGCTAGGTCAGATGAGCCCATGAGAAGTGGAACGACTTCCTCTCGAGATAGGGAAGCCATTTTCCAGAACACATGGAAGAAAGGCGCCCACTGGCCAGAAAGTAAAAATCACGAGAGTTTGCTACTTGCAGAAATCAGGAATATATTATTCGAGATAAAGGGATTTGAATTATCCTTTGACATAGCATAGACAGCAGCGGAACTATAACGAAAACAAAAGTATTGTATCAGACCTTTATAAGGTGCATGCAAGAGAACAAGTTTCAGCAACACTTAAATCTACATAGGCGATATAATACTCGCTATGCAGGTTGAGATACTGTAATCTACATAGGGTGAACGGCGCTGCTGCTATTCAAAAACCATGAATTTTGATGTGCTCCTTCTTAACAATGCCGGCCTGTTTAAATGAACACGTGAAGTTGGCAAGTTAAATACATGAACCAATTGCAAATTCGTGGTTGTGGCGACTTAATAGAAAACCAGACACAAAGCGTTACCTGCACAAGAAAGGAGGAAACATTCTTTCTCTGGTCCCCCTGAAGTTGTATGACCTGCAACCATGCAACAGTGACTTATAAAGCTTTGTTTTTAAGGACAAAGGTCCGAAGCTGTGAATATTCGTCCAAATGTTGGCTGATGTCTAATAAACAAGAAGCTCGTACAACACGGAAAATATGAAACGTGCAAACATAATATTTGCAAGGTGTACAATCACCCTACACATGCAGCAATTCTACTTTTGAGCACATCACATTAGCAACAATCATCATGGTACGGAAACAATGCATGTTGAAATACTAAAGGACGGGAACAAACCTGGCCTAACTCAGGATCCTCAACGACAGTACCATTACAACAGAACTCTTTCTTGAGGTCCTTTAGTATCTTATTGTAGCTGTATTCCTTCTTCAATCCTTGTACAGTAGTCAGGCTTTTCCTCCCGTTGCGCTGCTGTACACGGACATGCACATACTCCTTTGTCCCTGCACCTGAGTTCTCAGCATTTGCATCAGCAAAGGGATCTGCCCGTACACACAATCCACAAGGACACAACAAAACATCAGTAAGTCACCCTTTTAAAATTCCTTGCAAGTACGATCCTTCCTATAAATCATACCATGCATCTAAATGAAATTAGCTTTTAAGAAAATAACTTTACCAAAAGCAGATGGGACCTGGGTGTCGAATTCAGACATGAAACTTGACTGTTGGAGGTAGAAGATCAAGTAACCAGCAAAAGTGATTTTTCTTGAACAGCAATATAAAATCTGTTCCACAAAAGGGTAAAAACCCGATCGGCTTAATATATGTATATAAAATATAAAAAAAGCACAATTTGATAATTCCATCGTATTGTAGGACATAAGGAACCTCAACAATTACCAAAGTAAATATATACCCAAATTACACATCCAAACATATAGAAACATAAGAGGAAACGTACGCTTGGGAGCAATGCAGAGCAACTTTTTTATTTTTTTTAGGAATTAGATTTTGATCAAACAGCTACAATTATTAAAACTGTTAGAGGAACTCCCTGTTTGTAGTTGTTGAATCAAAATCCAACGACCCATGTTGTCCGATCAGGAGAATCCCAAGGTTTTGGGTTGGAGAGGATCCAATTCCTTTTTTTTAGTGTCAATGACGCCACCTTTTTTATAATACAAAGCCAGAATTTGATATTTTCATGATATTACGGGGACAGGGGGACAAGAAAGCCTCAACATTACCAAAGTACACATCTTTAATCAATACAAAAATCATGATCCAATTCCATAAACAACCCAGCTCATGTAAATTACCAATAACTCATATTTTAATTACAAAAACTAAATCAGAAACTACAATCCATTCCTCAAGCTAAGCAATAAATCAAACATAACCTGAAAAATGGTAATTCCAATCAAACAGTAACAAGGTAAAAGAAAAAAAAAATTACCTGATTTGCAGAGAGGGTGAATCCAAACAAGGGACAGAGGGAAGAGACAGAAAAAGGGATGAGGAAAAGGGAGAGTGGGTGGAGGGGTTTATATAGGATAAGAAAGAGTCGTGCAAACAGCACAAAACTCGGGGTTTTACTTTATTCTTTGACGCCAAAATGCACCGCCAAGTTTCGTTTTATCGTTGGTGTACACTTGTTTTCTTTTTTTGATTTTGTGGGGGAAATTTACCTCCTTAATAAAGATGATTTAAGGTTTCGATTTTCTGCCAAAATTACTAATTCTATTTCTCTTCAGAAAAGTTAACAAACTTAGTGTGTGTGTATATATGTAGCTTCTAATTTTTAGTAACCAACAAGAAGGTTGTTATTTTTTTGAAAATTCACTAATTTACCTACATTCTTCATTGCTAGCATAATTGAATGTTGTCATTGTTACTAAAATACAGGTAAATTTTCCTAATTGTTATTTTAAAAATTCACTAATTTACCTACATTCTTTTGTTACAAGCTAATTTATCTGCATTTTTGTAGTACATACTAATTCACCAATCTACTTATTAATTTACCTATACAAATAATATATAATTACTTATAATATCCAAAGTAATCATATACATTTTTTCTTTACAATATCACGCCTATGAGGTAGGTAAATTATTTTTACAGTATTTCTAGTCTAAGTGGGTACTAACATATAGATAGGTAAATTATTTTCTATCAAAAGAAAAAAATACAACCATTATTGTGTATAATTTTTTTGACACAAATTATTTGTCCATGTTTCAACGTAAAACACCATAATATTTTTATTTATATTATATATTGCATGATAATAAGGTAAGTTAGTTCCACGATAAAATAATTGTTAGTAAAAAAATTTGAGATAAGAAAGCCTAATCAAATAATAGGTTAATTGACATTTAATTGCATTGTAAACCTAACCCACGTTACACTCTATGAGGGTATTTTAGGAACACGATAATTATAAAAACTGACATACCAAGCTTGTTAAGGAAATTTGCTTTGTTGGACTCTAGTAAATAGGGTTTAAGTCTGAAAAAATAAAGATGATGGGTTTTAAGTAAGAGAAAATAAGTTTTAAGGGGAAACTCTCATTTTCAGTTGATTTTTTAATGACTGGGCAAGTCAAGATGTAACGAATGCACATGTACACCAATTGCTTAAAAAGTGCGAAATAGAATTGGTAGATTTATTTTTAGAAAATTCTTTCACACTACATAGCTTTAAATGTTATAAGCATTTTATTTTTATTTTTTTACATAAATGAGGATAATTGGTGGCAAGTCACAATTATTAACTCATTCTGTGCTCTGAGAGGCTATGGGGAATTTCATCCTATATGTGGTCATAGTCAAGCAGACTCACCAACTCAGAGCATTGAATTACTTGAATAGGTTTGAATTATTATTTTTTATTATGGTCCTGTGAATTCAGATCATCTAATACTCTTAACATTTAATGCTATGCATGGAAATGGAAGAAATTCATGTTTTGTTACGATTTAAGAAGCCGAGCCCTTGGAAGTTTGTTATTATTATCTTTCATTCTATTTACATGGGGTATGTTTTAGATGAGTTTATAAGATCTAAGGAATTGATGTTAAAATATGAAGGAATGGACCACAAAATTTAGCATAGAGAGGATTAGGAAAAGCCTCTGTGAGTATTACTTAAATTAAATATGTGATATGATTGTTGATGATTGTGCTATTATTTAAATATTGATTAACGTGCTTATTTTATATTGGTGTCATATCACATAATCAAATGTATTTTAAAAATTTAGTCTAGTCTATCTAACATTACTCAAATTAAAATACAAATACTTGCTCTTCTCATTTTTTTTGCATCTTATTGAGGGTGTATTCAATGAAGATTTTGAAAGACCTTAATAGATTTATAAAATTTATGAATTTTGACCGAGTTTAATTGATTTATATAGATTCTTTCTATGTAAAATATTGTACGAAATCTCTTTGATTCCATCGAATTCCCCAACTTTTTAAAATCCTTTAAAATCAACTTCTAATTAACTACACCTAAAATGTTTTTTTTAAAATTTATTATTATTAAAGAGATGAGGAGGGTTTGCAACTATTACAATAATTAAGGGAAGATGTAATTTTGAACCCTGAACATATGGTAGAAATCTAATACTCTATACACTAAGATATTGGATCACATGCTATACACCTCGAATGTTATAATTTCCTTTAAAGTTTCAATTGAATACACTTAAGTTTTCAGAGAATTGCTTAGAATCTTTATCAAATATCCTAAATCTATAAAAAGAATTAAAGTTTCTTAAAACTTTCAATTAAATACACCCTTTAATTTTATTGACAACGTATTTTAACAAAAAAAATTAAAATGACAGAAATATGAATGATGCAATTTTATAAACCCCTCGCCGACGTCTCTCATTTTCTCCATCGCTTGATTCTCATTTTCTCCATCGCTTGATTCGATTCAGTCTCTGCTTTTCAGGTACTTGTCCTTCTCGTCCTCCTCACTGTTTTCTGGGATATGAATTCGTTCTCGTTATGTTTGTTTGAGTGATCGAATAATCAAATATAGTTTCTTTCAGATTTGCATTGGTTCATATGAATTAGTAGCCTCTAATTTTTGTTATAGGACATATAATTTTAATGTTACGGTCATTTTGTGCAATGTTGGTTGTCTACGGAATTGGGTCACCGGTGGATTTATGATAATTAGTGACAATTTGAAGTCTATATTGTGTACCGACGATATTCTAAACTACTCTAATTTATAAGACAGTGATTCGAACTGTGGTGCAGGGGATGGAACTGTTGGAAGGTGTTTTTTTATTGGAAGCAAAGGTTTTGGATCCAATAGAGTTATGCTTTGGTGGTTAATGTAGTTGCTTTCAGTTCCCAAGTGTTGTACTTATTGATATGTTTTCTGATTGACTCATTGGGGTTTTGTTCACACTGTGGAGAAGATGTGATTTTGTGTAAAAATTGGAACCAAAAGGAAATTATGGCGCTGAGGAAGAAACTGTGGGAGAGTTCCGATTTCAATGGAAAATTTGTGTACAGCTTTTCAAGGTATTACAGTTCAAACAAGGTGGACTTAAGGAAGCTAAAGCCTATGATTCATAATAAAATCCAAAACCCGGCTAAGGATTACCCAATGCTGGCCATGATACCGGTAGCCCAGGAGGTCATGGAGTGCCGGAGACTCGTTATGCAAGGTGTCTCTACTCTCCTCAAAATGGTGCCCGTTCTGGCCTGCAAGTAAATCCCTTATGTCCCAAGTTGCTTTTAAGAGGATTCATATGAACTTTTTCTTATTTGGAATAATTAGACCACTTTTTGCTATTTTTGAGAGCTGCACAATCTATAGTTTTCAAATTAGATTTAGTCTAATTTAGCTTCCATTCCATCCCTACTGCTTTTATTGAACAATTTTTGTGGTGGAAAAGAAAGGCCAACTTTTTTATCTATATCTTACTTTTGCATGTTCTGTCCATAGGCGAGAAAGGCCACTTAATTCAGACTTCTTGTGGGTTCAAACGTCGTGGCAAGAATAAAGTTTGAATGGATAGTTGGTGGTTTGAAAGATGTGCTTGTTCCAGTAGAGGCATTTCACCTCAAGCACATGTTCCAGGATGTTATAAAACACCATCAGAGGTTTGACCTTGAACGTGTTCCTGCAGTTGTCGAGCTATGCTGGCAAGCAGGGGAGAACGATATTATGATGGAAATCATTTAAATTGGAACTTTGAAAGTGAGTGTGTTGGCGTTAACGGAGCTGAGTCTTTGTTACCCGATGAACTGATTCTGGTTGCCAGTGAAACTTTGAGGGCATGGGAAATTCTTAGAAATGGCATGGAGAAGTTGCTGAAGGTTTATCCAGCGAAAGTCTGTAGACATTATTTAGAAGTTCGTTTTGGGCTATCTGGACATAAGGCTAGGCTTCATGGAGTTTTCAAGTATGAGAGTGAGCAGGGAATCCACTTTTGGAGAAGAGCAAATGTGGATGATCATGTGCCTTCAAAGAGTGTATGGCGGTGGCAGCCTCAGGATCCTCAAGTACCTTCGAATGAAGGGAAGGGATTTTATGGGCATGCTCCTGCAATGATAAAACTATGTACACAAGCAGGTGTCATTGCACCCCCCAAAGTATCACTGCATGATGAAACTGCAGGGTGTAAGTACCACACTTGGAGATCAAAGGTTGTTCCACTTGAATAGTAAAATGAAAATGTCGATTAATTCCAAGGTAGAAAATTGAGCCTAGCAGAAACTCCCCAGGATTGTCAGATCACAGATGTGCGTAGAATTGCTTATAGTTGTAACATTTGATCTGAAATGGGAAAATGAACCTCATAGAAGCTCCCGTAAGACTGTCTGATCTTCATTATTGAGAATGATTGTAATTTCAGATGAATGACTACGAAGTTCGAGATGGCTGGCAATATCAACTGAGCACGTATTGCCCCCCTTCACTTCATGATAAAGGTGAGCAAATTTGTAGCTTTGCTCTAGCTATGGACATAGAACAAGAATGCATAGTAGAAAGAGTGAAAGCAAGAAAGGAATAACAAATCATTGAAATGTCTAACGGAACTGATGCTTATTAATTATGCTCCTCTATAGATTTTCAGAACTGACTAGTTTACGATTGATTTTCAGCTATGGAATAATTACTATTCTTGTGCATATCGGCATCCACTGCGATAGAACGTCACTTCGAACAAATATCTGGAATCTCCATCTTCCACACCATGCCATTTTTTAGGCTGCAGTTGTCTATCCATCTCTCTTACTTTATTTGATCGACAATGCACGATTGCTACCATATAAAGGATTTCAGGTTCGTAGAACCTCACTCCCCTGTATCACCTTACAATGACTGGTAAAGAATGGTTTTTAAGTTCAAAATTTTGGTACTAGTCATGTCCAAACCCAATTATTCCATCGTTCTACATGTATGTTGAATCATTTAAAAAGCATAAATTTTGATCACGAGCATGATTCAGGAAGGATATGCTGCCCCTAGTCCCCCACCACACACGCGCGCGCACACCACTTACATGCAGTGTTCTAAAAAATTTCGTCTAGATCTTGCCTAGGCGCTTGGGGGCTAGCCACCGCCCGACTAATCCTTAGGCGTTTGAAAATTAAAAAAAGGGCACTTAGACCTGCCTAGCCTAGGTCGCGACTTTCATTTAGACAGAAAATATATATCTTTCATTTTGTATTTTATTTTTTCAATAAGTGTAAAAGACTTGTTAAATACTTAAATGAACACGCATTATATGATTGCTCCCTATGTATTTAATATGTTATATATCTTTATAATCTATGTGTCATTCTATTTTGCAATTTATGTATCCCAATATTATTATTTATTGTTTTAGTTATAAGTAGACATTTGTTTATATGTTATGTAACAAATTTAATTAAAAATTAAAAAAAAGGGTCTACGCCCCCGTCTAGGCACAAGACCCTTGATCTACTCTCAACTAGCGCCTAATGCTTTTTAGAACATTGCTTGCATGGTAGTTAAACTCCGTTTTCAAGTCCTTGGTCCATTTCCGTTGCAATGGAAGAGAATGGGACATCCCTACTCATTTCTCATGTCCATACTATTTCAAAAAAATATGCAGATCTGGTTTATGTGTCCGCCCTCTTGCGTTCATTCTCCAATTTCTCTTCCTGTATGTAGATTTGAATATTGCCTTGCTTATTAAAGGAAAAAAAAAATCAACAAATATCAAGCAGTTAAAATATAACTTGAAGTGTATAATATGAGTCTGTTACCAACTTAGAAATCTAGGAAAACCTAGTAGAACATGTCTGTAACTCTCTGACGGGTGACTAGTAGGTAGATGTGGCAAATTAACCTATTGGGTTGTTAATTGGTGCCTTTAAAACCTATTTAATTTGATATCATCATAATATAAAGGTGAGACTGATAGTGTTTTCCGGCAGAGTCAAGTATAAGGCTCGAGTGAGCTATAGCATAGGGAGAGTTTTAGTTCTTTAAGCTTAAAAATATTAGTTATTTGGGTTATTTTATGATTTTTGATTGTCCTAAACCACGCAACAAATGAAAGTCTGAATCTTAGAGTTGCTTTTGGGAAAGTAAGAGTTAATAAATATTAAAAAATCATCACTTTAACAAATATTAAAATTTACTAGTAATAAATTAAAACTTTCATCCCACATACGGTCCCTTATTTTATTTCTTTGAAAGTTTTGAGGGCTATAAGCTAAGGAAATAGACTATAAATTTCTTACTTCAAATTATTACTTTCAAGTTTACTATTGTATAACTTTCTATAGGCAACAAAAAGATTGAGCATTTGATTTCCTAGTAATAATTTTAGGTTAGCCCACCCACCAAATAATTTATGGCTTCGCCATTGATAATGATGATGGTTGTGTAAAGTGAAATCAAACTAAGGGTTAGTTTGGTATTGTTGTGCCTTTTAATTAAAAAAAAAATTGTTTCTACTGTTATGTGAGAATAACAGTTGTAAAATAAAATTGTTAAGTGTTTGGTAAACATTTTTTGTAAAAATATTTTTAACAGAAAATAATAATGTTTGAGTGTTTGGTAAACTTTTATACAAATTGTTGTGGTATGTTAAATAATTAAAAATGATACTGTCTTTTTTTTTTTTTTTTGAAACGAAAAGAATATTGTATTTGATGTGATATAATACTAAGAAATTGACAGAGGTGACTCATTTTCATAATTTTGGGACCAGAATAGGATTTTCAAGATATGTACAGAACATGCATAACAATACGATAGATATAATATTGGGAACTTTAACGAAAAGCATCCGGTACTGTTCACTTTAACGAAAAACCACATTTTTACACTAAAAAGTCAATCCTGGTACTATTCACTTTACCCTTTATTTTTTCCTTATCATTAAAACTCAAAGTTTTCAAGCCCTTTTCATTAGTTTTCATTATAATATTTTCTTAACACTGAAAATGATCTAATTGTCCTCGTATATAAATGATTATTTCCTCCGACCCGCACCCTTCTCCTAAAACCTCTCTCGCCCAATCCCCAGCTTGAAGACCCCTAACCCTCAAACGTTGTTTCAATCTCCCATTTTGCAACCGGTTCCCCTGCAAAAATAGAGTGTGCAAGTGTTTCAAAAGGCTGAGAATGGTGGGGGTGGGGCCCACGAGGTTGTATCTGCCCATGTCGAGGATTTGCAGCGAGCTCAGCGACCCCAGCTCCGGCGGAATTCTGCTGTCATAAAGAAGTTCATCCCACGAGGGCCGCGATATCAGCAACAACTCCTCCGGGTAACAAGATGTGCAAGACCTTTACTTTCTCTAGGAAAGGCAGATTCAATGGCGGCGAAGTGTACCGAGCTGAATGATCTGTCCTTGGTGGAGACAATTAGGCCATCCTGGTGGCTTGTGGTGCGGTCCTGCAACCAGCCACCATGGCAACAACCGAGTCCGATTCCGGCCGTCATCCAAAGCCAGCTATCCGTCAACTTTTCTATCCTCTTTCTCATCGTCAACCTTGGAGGAATTGTCAGCAAAATCAAGTCCATTGGTCCCATTTTTTTTATTAATTTATTAGATTCAAATTTATATAAAGAATCGAAGATTCATTCATTTGAATTTGGTACCAAATTTGATTGGATTAAAATATTTCAAGGATTTGAAAATTGCGGTTTGAATGGATATGAAAGAACCCAACTAAATTAAAGGAAATTGTTTCGTGAACTCGTTCGCTTTCTTCGTATTAAGCTCGCCTACGTTGAGGTAGTACATTGTATGTATAAGACATGCACATGATAAGCTCACAAATCTGAGCTCAACCTAAAATCCCAAAGTTGACAGCTCTCTCTCGAAATCAGAAAAATGACACAATGAGTTGTGAGTTGTTTCAATTTATATGTGGGTATTTTCATCATTTTGCTTTTGTGCATGGATAGTTTGTCTATTTTGATCCCAAGAACAAGAATGTCACGTCCCGATCCGAGCTCCACCACATCTCGGACTCAACTCCGCCGTAGCATTATATTGTTCGCTTTGGATCCCGACCACGCTCTCACGGTTTTGTTTCTAGGAACTCACACGAGAATTTCTTAGGGGGGCACCCATCTTAGGATTGTTCTCGCCCGAACTCGCTTAACTTCGGAATTCCAATGGAATCCGAAGTTAGTAAATTCCCAAAAAACCTCGTGCCAAAGGAGGTGAGCATGCACATATAAGGCATAGAGGATTCACTCCCTTGGGCGATGTGGGATCTAATAAAGAAAATGGGTCATTTATGTCAATTTTCCTATAATAATTGTAAAAGAGAATAATGTATGGACAATAATTGTAATTTTGTAAAATATGTGGAGGTATACTTGTTATATGTGGGTATTTTCATCATTTTGCTGTTCTACTACCATTGATAATAGTTTCTTTAAAAAATACTTTATTTTTGTTTTACCAAACACATTTGATGTTCCAGATTTTTTAATAAGCTGTTTTTTTTTTATTTTAAGGACCACAATTTCAAACCAGCCCTAAATGGGTCTTAATGGGTATCAATTAACAATTCAATGCGTTGATTTAACAACTCTACTTGTAGGATTGCACATCTTAGATGTCACTGTTTTAAAAATCCCCGCCTAGCTCCGCCTAGGCTCTAGGCGGTTGACCACCGTCCCGATTAATCTCGAGGCGTTTAAAAATTAAGAAAGGGCGCCTAGACCTTTTAGGTGCCCGCCCAAACTGCCTAGTCTCGCCAAGACCTGCCTAGGCACTCATCTAGCTCGCAACTCTAATAGCCAGAAAATCAAGGTTCTAAAAAACGCTAGGCGCTAGTCGGGCGGCGGGCTAGCGCCTAGCGCCTAGGCGGCCTAGGCGGATTTAGGTAAATTTTTTGTATATCTTGTAAATAAGTGCATATTGACACCTAAAAAAAAACTATACTTGTATGGATAATAAAATAATGATAAAATGCAAATTAGGTACACTATTTCCATAGTATTGGATGAACTTGTAGTAAATTCATCATTTGCAAATTAGATACACCATTTCCATAAGTATACCACCATGAAACCAAAAAAGAAAAAAGCACGCAATTAATAAAAAATAAAAAATAAAAAAACCTCCTAGGACCGCCTAGGACCGCCTAGGGCCGCCTAGGACCGCCTAGCCCGCCTAACCCACCTAGCCGCCTAGCCCGCCTAGACCGCCTAGGCGCCGCCTAGCCCGCCTAGGCGGTCGCCTAGGCCCAACCCGATTTTTCCTCCCGATTTGCCCAAAATCACCTCGGTTGGTGCCCGCCCAGCACCTAGGCGCCGCCTAGGCCGTTTTTTAGAACACTGCAGAAAATAGACAATTTTCCTTTTGCATTTTATTTTTTTCACTAAATTGTAGAAGACTTGCTGAATACTTAGATGAATACACATTATATGTTTGTTCCCCATGTTTTCATTGTATTCTAATACTTTATAATCTATGTCATTCTATTTTGCAATTGGTGTATGTCCAATGCAATTATGTATGTTTTAAGTATAAGTAGACACTTATTTATACGATATATAAGGAATTTACTTAAATCCGCCTAGATCCCCGCCTAACAGTCTAGGTGTTAGACCCATGTTCGCCGTCCGACTAACGCTTAGCATCTATTAGAACCTTAGGTCAAATACATAAAAACATTTGTCCGTTTCTAGTTCCTTCTATGGAAAACTAACCAAAACATCCTCAAAACTTTACTTTTAATCATCAGGACAAATTTTTTCAAAAATGCCGATCCTACCCTTCACACATATGTACAAGATTGGGTCAGTTTTCTGCAAAGTTCATGTGGATACATCCAAAAGAAGAAAAAAGAGATTGACATTTTCAGAAAGCATTTGCATGCAAAAGGATATGTGGCAAACATTGCAAAAACCAAGACAATATAGATTCACATGCAAAAGAAAATGTGGCAAACACTGCAGCAACCAAGACAACATAAATTCACATGACATTCAAGCAAAGACAAGACAGCCAGCTTTCAGAAACAGTGCTGACAGTTTTCAGAAACAGTGTGCTGTCATTATTCAAAAAATTGTAAATAGATGAAATGTTATTTTGTCTTTAAAGAATTAGATTTTGTATATAAGGGAGCCTTTCCTCCCATACAGAACACACCTGAATACCACACACCTCTCTCAACATCTGAAAACACCATACTCACTCAAACATTCGTAGCCTTCATAGCATCCTTGTAAACACTTCTTTGTAATCACTTTCTTGTAAACAACTATCTCTGTAAACATTCCATATATCAATA